CACCATACATGGTGCTTGCCCGTGATGGTAAATGGGTGCATATTTTTGTGGAGCAAAAGCATTTTGGCCACTTTTTTACTCTGCCCTCATTGCACTTCTGATAATAGATAGTTCCAACTGAATCTCTGGCTTACGAATATTATGGTCGATGGTTGTTTTAATACTCGGGGCATTAATTTCAAATTCCTCATAAAAGTAGATCCAAAAGAGATTAAAAATATGGCTTCTGTCATAATTAATACAAAAAGAGGAAATATAAGGCCAGAGCAGGAATGAGAAGGTAACACCTCCCACCTTTCTTTGCCACATTCTGTTATTAGAGATAAACTCTTCTAGCAGGACAATGAAAGCAAATTTAGGCAGGATGCTATCTGCATCATAACAATATTATTGGTCAATGCCTCTCTGCCTGATACAGTGGACCCTCAAGTTACAACCGGCCTGACATACGAACAACTTGGGTTAATTATGTTAATGGAAGATTCACCTGTCTTTTATCTATAGTGTGTACCCAGGTAAACATCCAGATCTTCCTTGTATTGACTTAGTTACAACCAGCCTGTGGGAACCAATGGAGTTCATAAGTCAATGGTCCACTGTATTTGGTTCTGGGAGAAAACAAATTAAGGCTATTGAGTTAGGAACAGGCATATACTGAAATCTAAAGTACTGTGTAACGTAAAATATAGAAGACTGACTAACAAGAGCTTAATTTGTCAGTGCTTTCATGACCATAAATACTGTGTTAACCTGAGAACTTCATATACCGTTAATAAATCACCGGGCAGTATGACAACAGTGTACGAAAAGAAGTTTTTAAAAAATAGCAATTACAACCTTTATTTGTTGATTCCTTTGGCTACCAAACATTAAGATGTACACACTACTGGACAGCAAGAAGCTATGGCAGAGATCACAGATAAGATACCAAGGAAGTCATAACAACTTAGGGAAAAAAAATATGATTCAAGAAAATTCTGGGATCATAAAGCCCACAGCTAATTTTTAAGGAAATCATTGCCAATCCTGGCCCTAGCAATTCATCAGGGGTTATCATATGCATGGCACTTGACAGCCAGTGTTCATCTGTTAATTATTTTAGATCGAGGGCCAGCCCCACCTAGGGCCAGCAATATCATGATGTTTAAAAATCAGAAGCATTCTAAGGAATGCTAGACACACTAGAAGGCTGATGAGGAATACACTTTCCCTGCTGGAACACTCATAAACCTGCATAAACCATCAGTGAGAATTTGGGAATATATTTGAGTTGACTTAGCCCTGTATCATTTAGAGGCTCTACCTTTAGAAATGAATAGCTCTTTAAGTATTAAAATGAAAGCTTAATGTACATTATAACTAACAGTACTTGAGTCGAAAATGACCCATTACTCCCTCTCAGGTACCAAGAAGGGTTGCATTTCTCATTTATCAGCAAGTTATAAGAGTAGGGCAGCTTCTCAACCTCAGATTCTCTTCTGTGGCTGCTTCTTGGACAACTGAGGGGAACACTTCAAAAATGAACCAGCTAAACAAACTTCCCAGCAGCACTTGACAGAGCTACACCTATTCTTCCCATTTCCAAAGCAGTGGAGAATTAATTACCAGTTCTATGGATCTATTGTAAGTATAATAGACTAAAGAGCTATCACAGACACATTTATTGTAAAAGCACAATCCCAAGAGTGTCTAGTGGAGGGCCAAAACGATTAACACAAATGCTTTGTCAGATCAAAGATAAAACCTGCACCGCCCAATTGAGGAATGAATTAGAACAGTGGGTTATCTTTCAAATTAACCAGGGCAGTTAGTGAGGAAAATTTCATGAAAGTGTAATTCTTAGCCTTTGTGAATCCACACAGCAGGCATTCTGCCAGCTGACAAGATGATGAAATTTTCATGCTTAAAAAAGCCCTCTTCATTTCCCAATTTAGATTAGCTAGTGCTTCTCTCTGCGCTGTGTGCGTGAACGCACGTGTGTGTGTGCGTGTATGTGTGTCTATTTGCTCTTCTAGAGCAGTATTTGAGAGGAAGGGAACAGCTATCAATTTTTCACTGTAAAATCGAGTCTTTCAAAAACATCCCTAAAAGCTTACAGATTTAGTTGGCTTTTCATGATTTTCAAAAAATACAAGTTCAATTTTAACTTGGTAAAGAAGAACAAACAAAGACCAGGGCATGAAATCAACTTTGAATTATGGCTATTTCAAAGTTTTCCAACACTCCACCAAATTTCAGGATAAAGTGCAAAGTTCTCTTCTTCCTAAAGAAATGAATACATTACTTATTGATATCCTTGCCCAATGCTTTTTAAAATTTGTATATATATCAAAATTTGAAATGTTCTAGGAAATGAGAATCCCAGGGAATCACTGGCATACAGTGAGAGAAAAAAAGCATCTCTTCTCCAATTGAAGGAGTTAATATTAAAAGATTAAAATGTGATAACAGATTGATTCTCAGATATATATACTTTAAAAAATACTTGTTACACTGCTTACCAATTCAGGCAGTAGTACTGATTCACAACAGACGACATCAAAGGATGTGATGCATTTTGCCATACTTAAAGTGATTTAGAAATATATTTTGATATTCTAAACCTCTGTCCATTTTTTTTCTTGACAACCTAAGTTTTTAGTGATCTAGAACTATGTTTCTTGGCAGGTGACAGGGTTTGCTCAAGCGACATATTCCACTTACATTCTTCAAGTTTCTTTCTTCTTGAGATGACTTCTCTCAGTGTAGGCTGCTTTTCCTTGCAATAATTATAAGACTAAAATAAAAACACTGAGATTCGTGCCCTTGTTCCATAAATAATTTTTATGTTCAGTGAACAGTATTTTTATGTTACAAAATATATATAAAACATTTTGGTAATTAGCTTCAGAGAACTTAATCTAGTCCTTAGCATCAATATCCTTGCCTCCAGTACAACTGATATATGTCTCCAGTTAGATTATCGTCACTATGATACATCCCCCTGAACTAACAATCAGCATTACTCAAGGACAAATAACAAAATTAACTCAGTGCCATGACCTTCTACTGGCAAAAGTTTCTTTAAGTCTGGGGTCCAGGAGGAAATAGAATATTCTACCAATGAAATACAGTAAAACCTAAACGTACATCCGCTTTTTGGATGAGAGTGCTGATCTTAAAAATATTTGAAACATTTCCTCAGCATGGGGCCATGAAAAGAACAAATAATTGATTTCTTTCTCTACCATCCAATCATGGATAATTAAGATCAGAAAGTAGAGAAAGGAGTTCCTAATTTTGAGGACAGTCATATTAATCTTCAGCTGCAGGTGTGACATTTGGCTATTTTAATTAGAAAACCCTTAGAAAAGTCAATCAAATAGGCAGCTAAGTACAGGAAAACCATTACTTGCTGTTAGTGAGATGCCAGCGGACAAAACACTTAAATGCTCTAGAAACCTTGTGTTAACTATCTGGATCCCTAAAAATAGGTCGTTTGACTTGAAAAATACTTTTATAACCACCACCACAACTCGTACACACCTAATTAGGTGAAAACTCAGTCTTTCAATTCAGGCACATTTCTAATTATAGAGAAGATCATTTTTCTGCCTATTCTCAACTTAGTCAAAACAGATGGTTCCTTCTCATAGAAGGAAATAGACAAGTTCCTGCTAGTATTAACATTGCCATGGTGAAGACTTTGATAGACTAAACACAGAGAGAAAACTCGGGATTCTTCCCAAAGTCAAGAATCATACTTTGCTCAAAGAGGCTGGTAAATGAGAAGCTGAATAGTTTTGATTTGGGCTCTGTCATGCTAAATAAAGGCCTAACATTTCAAGTGCTGAACGTTTCATCTACTGCGGAATGTGACCTCACAGATAACCTTTATTCCCATCCAACTGTTCATTAAGTGCAGTACATCACTCACTAAAACTTTCCAGATTTCCCCCAAATGCAAACAAAATTATTATTTTTTTTTAAATCCTCAAACTTGACTTTTTTTTGGACAAATTATTCTACGCCAAAATCACAATACTGGAACTCTGTGTTTTCATTCTTGATCCTAATGATCTAATATTCGCCTTTTACATAATGAATTCTACTTCTTGCTATGTAAAATAATTTCTCATTATTTCACAGGAGTTGCTTTACAAGAAAATGTAATGTGTGTTAATTAACATGTAAGTAGAAAGTGCGGAAGGATACTGGTAAAAAACATGGGTCTTATTAGAAATTGAGCAATTTTTGGCAATACTTGTCATTGTAGCTCCTTTAAAGAAGATACAGTGAACTTTCAAATAATAGAAAATTTGTTTAGATGACAAATAACGTAATAAAACAGTAAGAAAAATCAAAATGGGAAATGTAGGGTCTTTTTAATTTTAGAAGAGATAAAATTCATATGAAATGTGTTCAAAACAAAACAAAAATTGAATAAAAGCTAAGACTGCTTACTGTTTTGAGACTTTTACTATATTTTACTGAAAATTAGATATTCTCTTTAAAATCCCAGACAAATTACGCTTACATTTAAAAGGTGTTATTTTGATTTTCTCAGAAAACTACACTAGGAAGCAGTTTAGACTGCCACATAAACACAAAATGTTAGGTAGTGGGCAGTTCATTAAAATCACCACCCATGATTTTACAGTTCTACTTGCCCAAGATAGGCGATACTCAATTTTTTCCTTCTCTGTGACCACTTAATTTATTTAGGTAACAATAAACTAATAAAATTTTGTCCTGATTTTATCATTTTTTCTTAAAAGCAAAATTTCATTATTAAAAGTACTGGTCATTAATGAAAGAGATGTTATGGCCATGAGAAATCAAATCATTTGTATGCTAATATGCCAAAACTACATACTTTGCCATATTTTTATTAATAATACTTCACCAACAATTCTCTCCGCAGTCTTTTCAAAATTTTATAGTTTCATACAAACCAATAAAACAAGTACTAAACCTCAATAAGTTGTGTACGTAAGAAAAAACTCAGTATAAATACTTACGTCGTAATACTTTTTAATGCATCGTCTAATGTCCATGATCAATTTGTTGCTCAACTGTACCACAAAGGTCAGAGGTGAAGCCTTACAATCAATATTACTGCAACGATACAAACTGGGCTCCAAATCAGTTCCCTACAGAAGGCAGGACAGACAAGTACACAAAAGGTCACTGCCAAATTATAAAAGGTTTTCTGTGCAAAAAATTTACATGCTTCCTAGTGTACAATATTCTTAATTCATTTTATTGGTGAGTTTTAAACTCTATTTTCTCAACTATTTTCTTCGCAAAGACCTCTGTAGTCACACATACCTTCCTTTGTGGCCGTAATCATAACGGAGTACACAGTCAAAGGGAAAATTCTAAAATCATTATTTTTACACTCAATACATGACAGATTCTATGGATAAAATAATTTCTGCTCTGAAAGTACCAGTAAAATCATGTTAATTCAAATAAACATCCTGAAGAGATACTGATCAAAATTTTAAATTTGTACTCATTCATTCTAAACTTGAAGATACAGCAAGAGCTCTTATGACATTAGTTTGTTTTGATCATATCAACCTAATTTTAAGAATAAAAGTTAAAAATTAAAAGTTTTGTGCCACAAAAGCAGTATCACTTATTGTTAGAATTGCAAATCTAAAATTTCTGCATTTTTCCAAAAAATGAAATGTACAGTGGGAGAAAGGTAGAAGTAAAAATATGAAAGAGTAACTATTAATAGTTGGAGAAAGTGTTTTGTTTTGTTGTGCTTTGTTTCAAAGACCAAGCAAATATATAGGAAAACTGTTGGAGTTTCTGAAGCATTTGTTTTCCTTCTGGATACTTTAAACATCTTGGTTTCCTGCTCCAATCTGGTACATAACTCTACCCGCCACGCTAAGCAATTCCAGGTGGAAGAGATTTTAGAGCTTGACATCGCCTCTTCCACAGTTAGCCCATCTGCAAGTCGTCAAGCCTCCATGCAATTAACTATCTTATTTACAGCTGTAATGAAGCAAAACTCAAGGATTTAGCAAGTATTGCTGATCTGTATCTGCCTCTTCCTTGCACTTGCTTCCAAAGACTGCTTTATTTTGATTCAAAAAAATGCAAAACATCTGCTGTTTGTCCAAATTAACTTAAAATAATTACTTTTAATTTAGATAAAGGATGTCTTTTCTTTCATTTTCAAGGTTTTATAGTGCTGCTGCCTACTCATTTGCCAATGGCTAGCACATGTACAACACTAGTGGAATCAAGTAAACTGGCCAAGTGTCAAGTTCTGATCCAAGGTCAATGATACATGTTTTGGCAGTACTTCTTGAGAGGAATGTCTCCCTATGACTTTTTAAATGTCTGATATGCAAAGACAGCAGAAAAGATAACAAAAGTACCTTTGCAAAAAGGAGGTAAGTGGGATGTCTAAAGATAAACAAAAACTTCCCCCAAACACTTAGTTCCCATTAACTTGATTTAAGATAAAGGAAAATATTGCTCTAAGTCTTAATGAATCAGGGTTGGGAGTAGGGAAATATATGTTACTAATTAAGGAATTACAATAAAAATACTTTAAGATAATTAGAATTTTTAAGTGATTCCATTTTAAAACCATGGTCAAGCACTCCAGGAAGGCAAAAACAATATTTAATCACATTCAATTAAACATTAAAGCAGAAATAAAGTAAATTGCAAGGGCAGAATTCATATGATGCTAAAATTCTTTAAAGACACAAAAGCAACACTTAGGTGAGTGTTTTCCCTTTTATATGCTCTGTGAAGGGGATCAGAGGAGGGCAGTTTATACAAGTTCACCTACAAAATCAAAGAAGAAAACAAAACAGAAATAACTAACCGAGCCATCAAAGACACTATCATAAATATTCTCGGTTCCACATGCAGGACATGGACATTTGAATTTTTCACAGTCCCTGTATTTCTCTTCATCAGTGAGTTGTGCTGGGCCACCAAGTAGAGCATCATTCTCTTCATCTTTATGATAATGATGAACTCTAAACTGGGTGGGGTCAAGTCCTAGTAATGTAAAACAAAAAACAAATTCAGATGAGTATTTATCTAAAACATACCCAAAAGAAGAAAACTCTCACAAAAGGATGATTTTTAAGTTCATATATATATATATATATACGTATATATACGTGTATATATATATATATATATATACACACACACACACACACAACCATTTAAACAATATGGACAAGGGACATTTTACAAGAGATTACTTTATAAATCAAACAAGTAATTGCAACAATGTAATGCAGAAATATGCCACTGGACATTTGGGTTCAGAAGCAACTACTTTATAGAATGTTTTTATTATTTTCTTAAAGTTACAATGCAAAGCCTCAATGAAATGTGTACTGTTATTAAGAAACACTCTTAGAGTCACCATTAAACTGAAGACAGAATAAAAATTCCATTAAAGGAAACAGTTTCACTGCCATTACAACTCCTTCAAGTGCAGACACAACTGCTAACCCTGATTTCAATGCAGTGGTCGATTTCATCTTGGCTCAATAGTTAACAGCATGTAGGTTGCAATCTAATTCAGTGGTTAAAATTCAGTAGCAGCATCTGAGACAAAATGCAACTTTTTTTTGGTGTTTGGAATTCAGAAATTTAAAATATATGCAAAAACAATGGATCTACAGATTCTGTAGGCTAAAACAATCCTGAAACCAAACATACCTTCCATATTTCAATGGAAACATCAGAAATCAATCAACGCATAGTTTATGCAATCTTGTTTTTACACACTACGAAAAGAGATTTTTAGGCCAACTAATTTCCCCCTTTTCAAAACATATCTGTCAAAATTACTATGTGAATTTATACTGAAAGATAATTACCCAATATTATTTTCTTAAAACTATCGTAGCAATCCCTAAAATTCTAGGTTTTTGGAAGTCCAAGGGAAGCTATCATTTATTTTACTATAAACATAAGTAATATAGTTAACTAAGCAGAAAGTTAACAAATATCAAAATACCTAAAATTGTTTTAAATCTATCAACAGCTGCATAGGTAGATAATCTAACAGTTGTATCCAGAACCCACTAATAAAATCCTACATCCCTTTTGGTCAGTTATCAGATGACATCTAATAATCATAAATACATGAGGGCCAATTTTCAAACAGTGGAACGATGCCAAACAAAGAATAAGATGACAGATGTGGAGTCTCAGTTTTCTCACCTGCAAAATAGAAGTAGCATCACTAACCATAGTTATGAAGTTCATGTGAGACAATAAAGGACAAACCTAGTTCAGTGGAGCTTATGATATGATGGGAAAGCACTCCGCAATTGTCACTTGGATGATAAATAAAAAGAGAATAAATATTCAATCCAGACTAAAACCACTCCAGATTACGCATTTAGAAAAATATACGAAATACAAGCTTATGCTACATAAGAGCACAAGAGCAAACTTCCTCTTTGTAAGAATTTAAAGTATTTCCTACAGTGATAGAATATAATAAAAACAAAGAGTATTCAGAATAATTTGAAAAATTGTTCACCAGTGACGTAATATGTGTCACTTGGCCCCAGGACTCCTCTACATTTTGTTTTACAAGTTGCTTCTCCCCTAGAGAGAAACAACAAATTAATAAAGTATGTGGAAATACATACCCTCACAATTAAATATAAGGAAGGGCAGAGAAACCGACTGAGACCATGTCCATGAATGAGGCCATTTCTTTTTTGTAAGAGATAACTGTTGCTAACTCATTAAACGCTAGTTGTGAATTCAAGTGTATTCACATAATGCCTTGCATTACTTGCCATTATGACAAAGCACCTTCACCTTTTCTCTGACTGTATGATTATTAATCAATTTCCCAGGCCAATACTAATCAAAAGATAGAGAAAAAATTAAAAGCAAGGTTTTTCTAAAAGGCAAGCTTCCTTCACAGTCCCAAAACCAAGGAACAAAATAACAATGGTTTGCTCATACACAAAACTGACTGGCCTGTGCAAAGGAACCGATAGGAGCTGCTCTCCACCCTTCCCCACCAGCCATGGCTCACTGGGTGCACTTGAGCGCAAGAAACTGACTATACTGGCCCAAGGCAGCCTGCCTGCAGCATAAGCCAAAAGTGGTCTCGGCCTATCTTGCTAGTACAAAGAAACGCCCAACAACCGGCTGAAACTTGTGGAGAAATACCAGGTCTTATGAAATATGTATCTACTCTAAATGTCTATTTTCACAAATGGCTTTTATCTTCCCATGACAGTAACAAGGCTAACTGGCCTAGCTAATTACTTCAGATTTATTCTTAAGGGGATTTTTTTCAGATGAAGGGGCTTCAACTGCAGCACTCTCTTGGTCTGAGTTCAATGTTAAATTTTAAAAAGGTAAAGGGAAAAGAAATTGTAATGACCTTAAAATATTAGTTATATAATGATCCTTGTACAAGTTGCTTGAATACAAAAACATCATTAAAATGTGATTTTCCTGAAAGGACAATTACAGTTCAATAGGCAAATCAAAAGACTAAATTTATTTTTTAAAAATATAATACCATGCTTTTAAAAAAATGTACGAATGCTGACAGAATCCTGCTTGAAAAGAAAATCCAAGATTAAACCCCAGACTTCTTCAATATATAAATTAATTTTTCCTAATCCTCATGAAATTGGTAATAGCAGCCTATTTCGAAGTTTCAGACTTAAAAGTTTTATTGCTTAGGGCCAGATATTTAGCTCAGTGGTGGACCCTGCCTTGCAACCGCAAGGTCCTGAGTTCAATCCTCAGTACCTCCCCCCCACAAAAAGTTTTACTGCTTATACCACAACTCATTAAGGCCACAGTGAAACACAACAGGAAAAAAAAAGTATCTAGTACTGCCACCTAGAGGTAGAGATTTTGAATTTTAAAGTGTACAAAACAGCTCCTTTCGTAATTATCGTCACTCCAAAAGTAAACACTTTTGTCAGAAATGACATTAAAGCAAAATCATCACACTTTCCCTACATGCATATACACTGTATAATTAATATTAAACTGTTCACCATAGAGTACATAACTGTATTAGTCTTGGAACAAAAAATGTAAAACTGCATTCCAAATTCCTTACCTCTTCTACTAGGAGCTTTCTCTGAGCAACTGGCTTAAAGAAAAAAACTTTATTCCCCTTTTGAGAAAAGAAACTTCCACTTCTACTAGATTAGTTTTTGGTAGATGATGTGAATCATTTGGTCAAGCACAGAATAAAAGGAGGAGTAATCTGCTTGGGCTTTGAAAAACCAGTTATCTGGAAGAAAAGCAGCTGTGCCCCCCCACACACACACAAATAAGCAAAGATGATGTATGCTTTAATTCAATCCTATAACTTGTAGTGATCAAATCACTTGTGCTAAGATGGGACGGACAGAAGAGGTAGTGGAATGAAATTAAAATACTGTCATTTATAATTAGAAAATTTCTAGGATCTCACATTATTTTGGCAACAGGATCAAAGCTCTCATGTTTCAAGAAGTATTTATAGAAGTAACATCACAGGCATTGGGGTGGACGAGTTTAGCAGTACTGTTTTTACTTAAGAAAACCACAGTCTTATCATACACATCCCTGTTGTGACATCTAGCACAAAATTATTTTTTTCTACTATTGCACTTTCTAACCATCTATGCCTGATTTTAGAATGTTCGCCTGTCCCTATTCCCAAAGAGTAAACAGGTCATAACTCAAAGCATATGGCTGTTTGAGAGGCTGATACATTTGATCAAATATTTCCCTTCCTCCAAAGACAAGTCCTCTATCAATACAACTGTAAACAACTACAGTAATGCCATTTTTAGTTACATATGTTCATGCAAGTAGGAAAAGGAAAATTTACATAAATGAAATATCAAGTGAGTAAAAGCAAGTAACTGGTATTCACAAGCAGTTGTTTGTAATATGAATCATTTAAGCCACTGGTAAATCTGATTAATGGAATCAATCTCTCTCTCTCACATTCTAATTTTTTTTAATAGTAGTGGAGATTAAACCCAACACCTTCACACTGAGCCATCTCCCCAGCCTATTTTTATGTTGAGACAGGATCTCACTAAGACCCAGGCTGGTCTTAAACTTACAAATCCTCCTGCCTCAGCTTCCTGGAGTTCTGGAATTATAGCCATGTGCTACCATACCTGGCTTTTCAATAGAATCTTACTGTGAAATTTTTCTTATAAAAAACTTTTTTAAAGAAGTAAATTAACTTCTCTTTTGCATGAATCTGGGCTCTCAAATGTCTGAACTTCATAGAGGACAATATATAAAATGAAAATATGGTATGATTAAAGAAAAAATATTTAGTGAATTTTTAAAGCACAAAGGCTATATCCATAAAAAGCCTTACATAAGAATGCTCATAGTAGTTTTACTCATAATAGCCAAAAGTGGAAACAATTCAGATGTTCATCAATAGTACAAGAGAAGAAATGGTATAATCTACCACAAAATACTACTCAGCAATGAAAAAGAATGAATAGTGGGGGCCAGGGATTTAGCTCTGTGAGAGAAGCTGAGCCAGTCCCAGCACCCGGAAGGAATCTCCCTGCCTGCCATCCCAAGCTCCTAAGGCAGAGAAGGGCAGCCGGTCCCAGCACCCGGAAGGAAGCTCCCCCATCCCAAGCTCCTAAGGTACAGAAGTTCAGCTGGTCCCAAAACCCGGAAGGAAGCTCCCCCACCACCATCCCAAGCTCCTAGGGCAGAGAAGGGGAGCAGGTCCCAGAACCCAGAAGGAAGCTCCCCTACCGCCATCCCAAGCTCCTAGGGCAGAGAAGCTCAGCTGGTCCCAGAACCCGGGAGGAAGCTCCCCCGCCACCATCCCAAGCTCCTAGGGCAGAGAAGCTCAGCCGGTCCCAGCACCAGGAAGGAAGCTCCCCCACCACCATCCCAAGATCCTGGGGCAGAGAAGGTGAGCCGTGTAGGCGCCAGAAGCACCCCCCACCCCCGTGGAAATGAGAAGACATGTAAACAAGCCTCAAAAACAGACTTCTGGATCACCTACAGCAACC